GTGACTTTTTTTCTAGTACTCCATTAAGAGTTCTTCCCCTGCACTCATACGCCTTCCATGGCTCCACGTGCTAGTACACAGCACCTTCCTCCACAATCCAACTTCTTCCAGATAGGCCTGGACCATCTGGTCACACTGGTTCTCTCACTGTTCTCCACCAGAAAAGGTGATGTAATTTTCCTGTTTTATGCAACTCTGCATTTTCTCCCTGTCACACATCAGACATCTTTTATCTTACCCGTTTAACCACTTCCTTATTAAGGATTTTGTTCAAAAAATCTAAAGTACTTCTGTTTCCTGACTGAATGTTTTCCTATTTTTGTTCAAATGAAAACACACAACATTAGAGGCATAGAACTTAAAAGTAGAGTGTAAGATAATTCCTCCTCCACTTCTCCTCCTTCTTTTGCCATGGAGGACACATTAAAATGTTTCTACATAGAGAACAACACTGCTCCATAAACAAAGCAGGCAAATTATATATGATGAGTATGTGCGAGTGTTGGGATTAGAGAAAGAAGCGAGCCCTGGAGTAACCTGGATCACTCCCTCATAACTGGCAAGATCTGGAGCCTCATCATCTTTGCATGTGCAGGAAGATATGGGAGCTAAATGGGAAAGGAAAGCCTGCATTAGTAAAACATATTGTGTTTCAGCTTTAAAGTCTGTAACTACTCCATTTATGTAGCAAATGTTAGTCATGCATCCTGCGTAACTTTGAGGACTGTTCTGCTCCAGTGATCATGGCAGAGGTGTTTCCCACCCACTAACAGAGATCTCCCAGTCTATCTCATTATCAGTTGAAACAGAAGACAGCAAACAGGGGTTTTGATGAAGACCCAGCAGTAAACAACTTCAGTGATGAATGTGAGATAGTTTGATGCACAAGTATGACTATTCTTGACTAAGGATCACTTTTAAGATAAAAAGATTGACACAAAAATTTAAAATATGGAAGAGGTAGACTGAAAACAAATCAAAAGAATATTCAGGGAGAAGGAAACCTTGTAAAAAGTCTGATTATCAGACTGGGTATATAGCTCAGTATTGAACATTTTCAAGTATGCACAGAGCTCTGAGTACAATCCACAATACTGCAAAAAGTTTAAAAATTACAAAATCTGATTATCATCATATTCATGTAAATGTTATATTATCGATCATTACTGTAAATATCATATTATTGATCACCAAAAATGCAGTAATTAGAGAGCAAGAAATAAAGTTTGGAAATGAATTTTGAGCATCTTCAAATTAAAATTAATTCAGTGTATTAACAGTGATGAATTGGATAAAACCAATTTCTAAGAAGGCAACTGGAAGGCACTTAAAAGCATGCATCAGAATACAAACAGACCAAAAAATGAAGATATAGGCGAAAAACATGTTTATGAAGGACTGGTTCTTGAAGTCAAAGTTTATCTACTATTTGCTTCACAGCGAGTGGGAATAATAATGAATTCAAATAAACATTTACCAAAAAAAAAAAAAAAAACCTCCCTGAGGTACAAGGGTATATATGGCCTAATATGGAAAATTTTAATGTGATATAACACAGACAAAATACTAAAAAAATAATAACTGAATCTAACTATGTTTTGCTGAAATTTGACACTTAAAAGCAAAGGAAGAAAATCAACTAAAATCAACTGAAGAAGAATGACAATACTACGCTGTAAATTACACAGAAGTACCAAGATGCAACACTTTTGTATTTCAAAAGAATAAGACCCCCTGAAATTTTTAAAGAATTTAGGGAAACACAGTTGTCTTGTTCAAGATCTTCACACACATTAAAGACAGAAGAAGGTACAGAGGCTAGAGAAGAATGTAAGACTTCCCTCAATAATGCCCTCATGTCAGTTACATTCCTCCAAAGCTTGAGGAGGAGATATGCAGTCTAAGACTCAGAACAAGAGCCTCCATGAATGCCGCCAGGGAGCCCAGTGCTTGTGCACTGTAGTGTGAGAAATCACAGCACATATCAGTGCTAGCTTATGATACCCAATAGCAAGATAAAAAGCTTACTCAGGAGGAAAATGTGCCCTTCCCTTCTAACCATGGATCTAGGTACAGAAACATGGTACCTGGAAACATTTACCTAAAGTCATTTCAAAAATATCCAAGATGGCGGTCTGACAGAGGGAAAAAAAAAAAAAAAAAAAAGAACCATGTAGGAAAGACACTAGGAGGTGAACCACAGGGGAGCATGTGGAGGACTTAAGTGTTCAATGGCCTCCACTCACCAGGATCTAATGCTCCAGCAAAGGAACTCCTTAAGGGAGTAGGAGAGCATGAAGAGTTCACAGTGGTGTTCACTGCAGCAACAGCATTCAGTATCTAGCTATCAAAAAACGGTGAGCCATCACGAGGCAGTTCAAGACAAATAGTAACTTCACCAGGTAGGTGAACTAGAGAAGGAGGGAGGAGACAGGGTCAAAAAGGAAACAAGCTATAGGATGCACACGTACCCTCTGCTCAAGATAACTGTAAACTGCAGGTACAGCAAAAGTATATTAATAAAAATTTTTAAAGTTAAAAATAATAACCTCTTCTAAATTTCCTCCTTCTTCCATCACCAAAACTAGAAAAAGAAAATGAAAATGAAAGAACCATGTACCACTGCCATCACTCATGAAAGTGTGCAACCCAAAGGAAATCCTAGCTTAGAAATGGAAATTTACTTCCTATTCAAGGCAGGACTTTGACATTGCATAAAGCAATGGAGGTATTTAATTACTGAAATGAGACTGTGTCTGCAAGATAAAATGAGCAAAGACTTCACCAGTGATTCTCAGAAACTCTGAAAAGTATTTTCATTCAAAGAAAATGCCTCCACTAAGCAGCAAGTGACCTAAATAAAGTTGCTTCTATGATTATACTTCATTTTTGTACTTGTTCAAAATACTGATCTACCAGTAGGCTGTACTACATATGGTATTCCTTACTTCCCTACCAAACAACAACAATCAGCATTAGTAAGTATTGGTGTCCTCCAACAAATAAAAAAAATGCTAACAAAATTCTAGTGAAAATTACTTTCAATCTAAAACTATATAATCTATCAAATATCAACTCACTATAAGGCAAAAACATGAATATTTCAGTTGTGTAAACACTAAGATCGTTTATCTTCATGGGCTATTTATGAAAATTACTCAAGAATGTACTTTAGAAAAATGTAAATAAAGCAACTCAAAAGAGAACAATGTGAGAAGCAACAAGAGCAGTTGAACTAAGCTAAGGAAAAAGGGTGCCTGTTTTTAAAATGTCTGTGGGGGCCGGGGAGATAGCTCAGTGGAATAAGCACTTATCTGGCAAATGAAAGGACCTGATTTCAATCCCTGGTTCTGCCAAAAATAAATAAATAAATAAAATAAAATGTCTGTGGTCCTATGTACTTTTGATATTCCCTTCACTATACTTATATTAATACATTAAAACTAAATTAAATTGCATTTTCTTAAACATAATACATTTTGATGATATTTTATTGAATTAACTTTTACTAACAATTTACAAGACAGAAAATGCTATTAAAATTACAGAAATATATGAATGTCATCAATGACAATATGCATACTAACATAATTCAAATGTGAAGTAATATAAATGCTTAGTTCCACAAGGAATTCAGTGTCTTCTAAGATGAGTAACAGAAAAAATAGGAATTGAACTAAGACATTCATTTTAATAATAATTTCAAGAAAACTAATAGAGAAATACTAGTAAAAAATGACTCCTCGATGAGGATGTAAAGGATTCACTTTATTCTATATTTTCCAAGGATTCAATTATCATGATGGATAATTAATATAAAGTCTTGTAAGCCAAAAACACAAAAAAGCAACAAGTCATTTCTAAACACGATAATCTACAAGAGAACATTTATTTTATTGAAGACAAATATGTTGTTAGTGACAATCAATACCATCAACAAAACTCATTACTTGTGATATGCTTCTATCTCAAATATCATAATCCACAAACTAATAGTGATAGGAGAGGAATGACAAAACACTAATCTGAAGAAAGTCACAAAAAAGATTATTCTATCAAAATCTTAGTATAAACTAAAAAGATTTATTATTTCTTTTATTCAAGTAGCCTATACAGTATCAATACTAATGCATATCTTCAAGGGGAACATTTAATATTGACACTATCAAACTAAATGCTACAATTTGGATTTATAAAAAAAAGTCTCAAATTACTATTGCTAATAAAATAAGGTATTAGAATAAGTAGCTTATTTTCAAATAAATGTAAGATGCTGACAAATTCTTTGGTAGCATCTACATTAAGAAAATTCATTACATCAGCTAGATTTTAACATAATTTGTATAATAAGAAATAAATCCTCTCATATGCTCTGTGCAATTGTCTTTCATTTTCATGTCTGATCTCTTTGCCTGGACATTTTCTATACCATTCTGTAAAGCACTGTAGAAGAATTCACAACAATTCAGACTACAAAGTATAGGTCAGTGATGGAGAATCATTTAGAGCTTTCAATGATAAGAAACAGCCCACTGTGGCATACATTTTATAGATTTGCCAACATTGGTATAGACAGTGACCATGTAGGCAAATTCCTAAGTGAGACATATTCATTCCATGGTATTTTTGAAGACAAAAAAAAATGTGAATTATACTAGGAAAATCTACAAAGAGATGATCTGGATGTTCTTTTTGAAAACAATAATTTAAAGCAGAAAAGTGGCAAGTTTGGTGATATAACCATGACTATATTGGAGTACAAGGACCAAAGATTCTTTGAGCTGTTGTTGATATTAAGCATATGTCCCTGAGTCAACTTTTTATTCATAATATCTAAGTATTCCATTTTTCCTAAGTCAAGGACTTACAATATAGAACCTCTAAATTCCTTCTCCAGTTTAGAAAAACTGACACCATACAAGCACATGGATTGAAAGATCTGATATTAATTATGAACTGAAGTAAGTATGAATTGAAGGAAATATAAATTAACACCTTACTTTTGGATTGTCTTTTTTCTTTGGCTTACATTTGTCTTGTTCCCTGGCTTCACGAAGACCTCTCTGAGTAGGACCTTCTAGAGCATTTTCCTTTGCACAAGTCTGATGAACTACAATGTAATTCAATTTATTCTTAATATTTATGATTTTTGTCAGCAAAATTATCATATGCAAATATATGCAAAAGTCTCATTAATACACATGTTTTTAAAGTATTTGACTAATTTAATCAGTCATATCAAAGCAAAATAGTTTAAGTAGAATCTCAAAATTCATTTGCACAAATGCAGAGTAGCACCTCTATAAGGTTAATGAAATGGAATGAGCCAGTTAAAAGACACAGAAACCAATCTTCAATCCTGTTGTATCCAAGCTCCTATTATCACTTTATATATTTTATAAACAAAACTGAATGCTAGAATAAAGAGTGAGTTTAAAAATATCTCCAATTGAACTAAACCATAAAGGAGATTTTAAAATATAGGATATTACACATATAGAAATTGTTATCTATGCTTCTTGCTGGTCAGAACATAAACAGAAAAAACACAAGGGAACACTGTAATACAGTGTACCACTGGTCTCCTAACTCTCCCAGACATGAACGGTACTAATGAAATGACACGAGGGGAGTAAGTGGTGACAAAAATTATCCTTCTCTTTTATACCTTTCCACATACACACATGAAAATTTAGGGACACATAATTTCCACGTGTATTTCTTTTTTGCAATTAAGTTTATTGGTACATTTTTTGTATGCTAATTATCACACTTATTATAAAGAATTTGTACCTGTACATGATATAACTTCACTTTTTTCTAATTTCACTACACTCCTTTAAACCCCTCTTCTTCTCCTCCTTTACAAAGCTTTGTTTCCACTTTTTCCTTCTTTTCTCATCATTTTTCTTTTCTTTCCTTCTTTTCCACTTCCTCCTTCCCTAGTTTCTCTTCTTATTTGAACATTTTCTTCATATTTCACAATATCTGTCATACCAATGAATAAAGTTTTTTTTATATATAACAGAGTACTACTCTCTGCTGTAATGAAAAATGCACTTCTGACATTTCTAACAAGTTCAATGAATGTATCTTGAGGACATTCTCTCAAGTGAAATAAATTTGACACAGATATGTCAATATCAAATTGTTCCTCTGGTTTGAGAAACCAAAGTGTAAATAAGGATTGTTATCATTTGTATCTAGGTGTCCCCACAAAGCCTGCTGAGGTCTTGGGGTGGATTTCTAGAGACTGTGATCAATTCATGATTCAATGCTGGGATTATGGGTGTAAACGCTGCTGGGATTATGAGTGTGAGTGCTACACCCACCCTGGAGCAGATAGCCTGGATGCAATATAAGGAAGCAGAGAGGCTTGCTCTTTGCCTCTGCTCCTGCCTTTTTGCTCTTGCTGTTTTGCTGTCTTTTGTCACCATGAACTGCTGCCCTCTGCCATATGGCACTCTGCTTTGGAGCCAGCCAAATATGGCCTGAAACCTCTACAAACTGTGAGCTAAATAAACCTTTCCTCCCTTAATTTTGGCTGTCAGGTATTTTGACGCAGCAATAAGAGAAAAGTAGATGAGACAAGGACCAAAATATAAAATAGGTACTGTGAAATAGGAAGAAAATGTTCCACCTGTATTTCTAAATAGCAAGTTGATTTAAAATAAAGAATAAGGTTATGTTTATTAACACATAAAAAGAACAACTTAATGTTGTAAATTATAACACAAGATTCATAATAAATTAATGATAAATGCAAACATGACTGCGGGATTTCAATGTCAAAGCTCTGAAAGAGCCCAGGGATTAAAACAGCAAGGAAGCACATGACTGGCATTTATTTTCATTCTTGACATAATTTTTCATATTTGGTAATATTTCCAAAGAAAGGAAAAAATTTCCCAAAATGCACAAGAAGCAGAAAGCTCCATCACCCAGGGCCACGTGACACTACTAAAAAGACACAGGTGCACTGACCAGCTGTTCTTCAATGGTGCTACAAACAGGCCCCTACAGCATCTAGGAAGCCAAGGCATTAGACAAAGACAATAATTACAGTTTGTTGAAATATAAGGCAATTTTTTCACTTCTAATTGTCTTTTATTGCATGTGCTTCTTGAAAGACCAAGCATATCAACATCATAATGATAATACACATATACCTCACTGACCTTTTACTACTCAGCAGTCAATGTTTTAAACGATTTACATATATTCCATTGAGCAATAGTGTCAATAATCCTGTAAAAGCCACTATTTTTGGTTCTTTTTATATATGAAAAGGGGACTATATAGTGACACACAGGAAGAAAAGGAGAAATCAGCAGAGAAAGAAACCCAGAAGTCAAACAGATAACTCCAGGCATATAAGATTTCATGTAATATTAAGCATGATTTCATAAATAAAAACTTAAAAAGCAAGAAACAAATAAATGTAAGGACAACAAATAAAGGTGGAAAATCCAGATTTGGCTTATGCATACACACTATAACTCCATAAGCAAAGCAAAATTATAAAAATACTTTCAAAAATTATAGGGAAGTATTCAACACTTAAACCACTTCGAATAAAAGTTAGAAAAAGTACATTGAGCTAGCAGAAAAATAATGGTTCTCAATTACATCAGTAAGAATAAACACGACTTCCACTTCCATCAATAAACATCATTTTACCTAGGCAAAGACTTATGTAACAAAGAAGAGACTCACACATTAAAGTCCATGCTACTTTCAAAGTGAAATGCACATAGTTATCAAATTCTGCACAGCACTTCCCAGCGTTTAGTAAAAACCTAGCAGAGTCCACGTCACCATCATAGAGCCACCATGTTTCTCATCTAATACTTGTTTACGGCAAGGCCTGAAATACTGACTGGTGCCATGCATCGCCCCAGTTGTTATGTGCAACAATCAATATACAAGTGCCAGACAAACAAGTGCATCTTCATTTACAGAAATTTCATTCATCATACCTTCTGTTGCTAAATTTCACCTAATCATTCATACATATGCACATTCAACCAATATTAAGTGAGCATACTGAAGCTCCTGGATAAACATAGGAAAGAAATGTACACCTTCACTCAACAAATACTTTCTAGGTACCTATCTCTGCCAATGCCTAACTTCCTTAGAGATCAAACACAATGGTAAAGAGAATGATTTAACTGAAAACAAAAAGATTTTGAAAAACTTAAAATAGAGGGATAAATAAAAAATAAGACATGGAGACACATTTAACCTGAAAAAAAAGAACCTAAGCATATATTTAATTGGAAATCAGAAAAAAATAAAGTTAATGGCGAAGATATTTGGGTAGATAGTAATCTCTCAATAAGTTACATAAACATACTGTATGCCACAACAAGGGCTAAGATTAATAATAACAAGCATGAACATGGAGTAGGAGGAGAGAAGGAGGGAGGGAGCAGTGAGGGAGAGGAAGGGAATTAGAAAGGGAAACACATGTAGTCTGTATATGTATCAACTCTCCAAAGATGACTGTAAACTGTAAGTACTGCAGAGATATACTAACAAAATATTTTAAAAGTTAAAAAAATTGGCAGCTCATAATGTAATTCTGAGCAGCAACATAGTCTAAACTTCAAAAACAGCAAGTAATTAAAACATATGGAGACAGGAGTACTCTGATCTACTCTATACACATAATAAGAGGCACTGTACTCTACTATTAATTTAGGAATACTAAATTACAGGATAATTTGCTTTACTACATAGGACATCTATTTTCCAGGCAAAGCTCTGAAGTTTTCAAAATTGTTTAAACAAATTTCAATTTCTGCCTATTCATCTTGAATTCCTAATTTCCTAAATAACTTATGGTATGTTTACATATAATCATAGATTACACATATAGAAAGTAAGCACTTTTGCACAGAACTGCAACTATATAGAAATCAGAGTAGTGTAAATTAATAAACACAATCAAAATGATTGTATTTCAGAAACATTTTAATGCAAAAAATAGGTAATGCCAAAACGTTCCTGTGAAGTTATTTAGAAATATGTGATACATATTATCCTTAATAAAAATAAAGAAAACTCAGCCTCATATCTATCTTTCTTGTTAAAATTTTATTAAATTTTTGATTTTTAAAATTGTCTCCACAACATTTATTCTTTTAAATATCTCTAGAATGTTGATCACTGATAAACTTATGAGAAATCATAAGACCATCACTGACATTATTAAGCTAGAAGTTCATTAAATATTATTTTTACCTCTAATTTCAGGAATGTGAGAAATAAGTCCTGCTTCTGCACCCTTCATTTTACATGTTCCATAAATCTAAAATAAAATTTGAAGATACAATGTTATATACTATAGTAAAATGTTAAATAAAATACAATGTTTAAAAACTGAATAATTGAAAATAGGAAAAATTTAATCTGTCTTGCATTAATATCTATAAATTTAACAAGTCAAAAATGAACTTTAACAGTAGAAAAGCGTATTTTTAGTTACATTTAATTCCAGAACCAATTATTAATTATATTAAGTAAGCGAAGCATGTCTTTCACAGCATAGCTTCCTCAACCAAGTATAGTCATAAATACAATTTGACAATTTATTCAGCTCTCTCTGAGAGAGATTTTTTTTCTATTTCAATTGCATCATCTTCATATCTAAAAAGTGTTTCTTACATCCATAAATTATAAAGTAATTATTTGGAAAGTTAACTATGAAGAGTGTATTTGATCCCCACAGCTCTTGGTTCATTCTACCCATAGATACTCTCAGTTTTACTAAATACATCTTATAATTAAGAACACTTGTTACCATGCTGGCATACCATTTACTTTTGTTACCAAACAACAGGTTTAAATTTAAAATTCAACATTATAAAGCTATCTCATCCCTTGTTGTATATGATTACACAGACTCAAACTATCATCAGTTTAGTTGTATACAGAGGCAACATTTCTCTAATAGCAGTATTTTATATTAAGAGAAAATAACAAAGTATAATAAATTAATGCTAATGAAATACCTAGGTTAAACTACATTCTTAGGAGTTAAATTACTTATATATTTTTTTCATCTATGTATTTGATACAAGGTCTCACTATGCAGCAAGTGCAGGGACCAGGGTTCGATCCCCAGTCTCACATGCCACACTGTCCCCGCCCATCGGGCACACGGAGCCAGCATCCGAGACCTAGTATGGTAGCACATGCCTGTAATCCCAGCTCTGGGAAGGCCAAAAACAGGAGGATCACTACAAGTCCAAGCTGCATAAGAACTTTAATTTAGCCTTTTGAATCACAGAGGAAATTTTCATGTATTTTAATATGCTTTCAATGTATGAATATTTTGAATAAATTCATTCTGTGGCTTCACGACACACTAACAGATTCAAGTTAACAAACCAATCCACCTCCCATTCCTGCAAACCCAATGTGCTCCTGTTAAGTATGCTCCAACAGCAAAACAGAGCTGAGTGGTAATAAACCACTCTTTAGTAAGGGCACACAAACAGATTCAGTTCAATATGTGGTAACTTTGGCTAGTTCTCCAAGAACACACCTAGAAAGCTGATACAACTAAAATTATATTCTTTGACCTCACTAGAGAATAAATTAATTTATCCTAGGATTAGAATGCTGTAAATTATATCAGACAGTCAGTTGGGCCATTTAGCAAATTATGAGCCTTCCATTTTGATATGGGTATCAGATACTTACAGTCTTTTCTGTAACTAGCATACTGGCAGTACAATACAATCAATCATGTATACCAATCCTGAGTTTTGGACAGAAATTATCTGAGAATGGTGAATACCACATACAGTTTCTACTGACATCTGCAGGGTAATTCTAAGAGACCATCAGCTAACCTGTATCACTAATATCCATGGTGAAACCAATGGTGGCACCTAAGAGGCAGCAGCAGTGACATCTCCATTTAAATCTGATTTTCTTAAATTGTAGTGAGTCTGCCATGTGAAATAGCAAATATAGTTGATGTTATGGCTTGTGTCTAGTTGTCCCCAAAGCCTCATGCAGTCATGGGGTGGACTTCTAGACTTTGTGATTAATTCATGATTCAGTTCTGGGATTATGGGTGTGAGTGCTACATCCAGGTTGGGGCAGACAGACAGAATGCAGCATAAGGAACATGGACCTTCCCTCTGTAACCACTGTTGCCACTACTCCTCCCATGTGCTCTTGCTGTTTGCTGCATTTAGTTGCCATAAACTGCTGCCCTCTGCCATGTGCCACTGTGCATTGGAGCAAGCTAAGTAAAGACTAAAACTTCCAGTACCTGTGAGCTAAATAAACATTTCCTTCCCTAATTTTGAGCATCGGGCATTTGTCCCAGCAATGAGAGAAGAATAACTAAAACAGTTGAAAAAAGAAAGCCATTTCTAAACCCTGTTTTGCTTTAGATGATAAAAAAAGATGTTCTTTATAGACATTTTCCATGAGTAAGTATATTGCAAATCGGAATTTTTTAGGATGAAGTGGAAGCAAATACAAATTACTCTGTGAACACTGTAAGTGGGGACTGACTAGGGTAAGTGGGGTTACAGAACGCCTCCTACTGCAGAAGAGAATAAACTAACCTATCCAATAATTCAAAGAAATATACAGGGTTGTGTTCCTGGAACCAGAGCAACAAGTGGTCAAACATGAAAATGCTGGCTTTCTCTCAAGATAAAAATCCAAGTGGGCTTAGTTGAAAGTAAATGACAAACACAGAGACATACTTTATGGATATGTCAGGTACAGTATATTTCCTTATAGTTTCTCAGGAGAGAATCTGGGAATATCAACACCTAAAATGGCTCTTTACATTTTCTGTTGGACTAGGAAATCATACAGTTCTCCACATGGTTTTTGAAACTAGACTAAAACAAATGTATCAATGTAAACAGACATTAACTACTTTCTTAATCACCTATGCCCTGTACTGGGAGATCAGAAACCTTTACATGCTAGACCAGGGGGAAAAAGCACTTGACTCAGAACAATTATATTACTGATGTGAGGATGCTCAAGGGCATCATGCAAGAGACCAGGGATTTAGCAAGGCTGTGTTGGGTTTGCACTCAAAAGAACCACACTGAACCCTACAATTCAGTACAAGGAGTATAATGGAATCAGTCACACTGCACCGGGTAGTGAAGACAAGGCATTTGTGTAGGGCGAAAACCATATGGATACATGTTTTCTTTAGCTGAAGTCACTAATTTAGCTCTCCTTAATAGGTGAGAAAACACACTGAGGTAAATGATCTGAATATTCACAATGCTACTTTATAGCACAATGGAGATTCACATTCATCATTCTTAATCTGTAATTTTTTTCTCCTAATCCAGTGCACAATAATCTCAGATCAAAAGATTTTTATATCCAGCTACTTTCTCTTAATTCAATGAGAAGAAAGATTTGTACTAATAGTGTTTAGACAGGATATCATATGTGCATCTTGTACTATGAATAGTTACTACAAAGACAACAATATGCAATATATTAATTACTATAACTGTCTTACTAACCTGTTTTCAAACTGTCTCATTGCTATTTGTTTCTCAATAAAATTAATAAAAATAAAAAATAGATGTCAAAAAAAAAGATTTTATATGACCTAAATATATCCTCAGCATGTTTTGATGTAACCTCAGAGTCATGCTCAAGTTAGAATCAAGAATTAACTCCTTTTCCAGGACAACCTGCCACAGCAAGCGAGTGCCAGACCCAGTATTAAACAGACTCCAGAAGTAGAAATGAACAAGCCAGAGGAGGTGTGTAGGCACTGGCCACAGATGAGATGAAAAGGAGCAAGAAGAAACCTCTAATGAATTCAAACGTTCAAGGACAGATTAAAATTGTCACACAAAAGACACTGAAACAAGCGATATTCTACATTTTACTATCTAAGAATTTCACTGAAAAGACAAAATATGCTTGAATAAAGTATGCTTTAACAATAAAATTATTAAAATGACAGCATTATTATCATTCATGTTTTTGTAGTTTCTGAGTTTAGAAAAAAGTGAAAATCTATAAAAAAATCAGACTATAATCATAATTGCAGTTTTACATTCTCTAATATATATGTATATATAAATGTATTGTATGAATGTCTATATATACATGATATACATATATGTGTCTATCTCACATATATCTATACATATTTTTGTTTTGATTTGTCTAAGCCAAAGGCTCCTCACCACTACCAGAGACCTAAACCTATGCACCTAAAAAACCTATAGGAAAAAGAAAATGAGTATCACTCATTAGCAAAAATGTCCAAAAATTCTGTCAACAAATATATATAAAGGTGCCAATATCCATTTGAGGAGAAATTTCAGGAGTGTTTATTAGTATCTCATACTTTATACAACACTCTTAAAAGATGGGTCGTTGTGGCAACATTTTACTTATAAGAAATTTGAGCCATAAGTATTTAACTTGCTCTCAAAGCTGGCATTTAAATTCATATTTGTCTACTCACACTGGCTAAGTATTTTCTTCTACTTACATTTTATTAATATCCTATAAATTGATGCTTCAGTCAAAATACTATTTAATAATAACTACAAGTTTTAAAGTGGATAACATACCTTTTATTGCTCTCATATGAATTTTTACATAAAATTGGTAGAAATGATTTTAAATGTTCTCAAAAGTATTGCTAATGCTATTATGAAATATAATAAGTAAAACTGTTTAGCAATAGATTTGTCTCTTTACCTTCCCAACAGCTCTGTCTCTTTCCAAGGAGGCCAACATTTTCTCTTTCAATAAAGCATGGTGCTTCTCATGTAAGACCCTAATAGTGGGCTCATAAGATGCATAGTGTAACTTCAGCCTATAAAAAAAAAGAAAATTGCAATAGCATTTTAAGTGAAGAAACAGTTAACTAAGTGGTTTCCACATAATATCTCAAACTTTTCCCCCTCATACTCTCTTTTTATTTTTATTTTCTGGCTTGGAAATAAAAATGAATAACCACATCAATGTTAACACACTTGAGCCTGGGAAGTATCACAGAGCAGACAACTTCAGCTGCAACCTGGAGGTGGTGGTGAAGAATGGGAAAGGGAGACCACACTTGCTGTAGCTAGTTTTCCATTGCCTATCACCACCTTTGGCTGTATTCAATTATATATGCAGAAGATTTCTGATATTTTTGGAGATTAAAACACTGCCATTCCTTTACTCTATTGAAAAACAATTTTCAAAAAGATAAACACCACAGTGAATAATTAAACAAGAACTGTTAGTTACATCAGAATTAAAAATCAACTTGAAAACAATCTTGATTAAATTTATGCTAAGAAAATTAAGTTTAGGGGCCGGGAGATGACTCAGTGGAATAAGTGCTTCCTTAGCAAGCGCAAGAGTCTGAGTTCAATCCCCGGTTCTGCAAAAAAAAAAAAAAAAAAAAAAAAAAAAAAGGAAAGAAAAGAAAGAAAATTAAGTTTAAATATATTTGGAAATCTCATAGTACACAATTCAACTCACATGATATACCACCTTTAAAATCTGTTTTATTTAAAAATATCTTCAAAATGGTTTCTTTTTTGTTGAAGTAAAATTAACATTTTAAAAATATACGTATTATAAAACTTACAACTGAAAAAGTTTAGAGAAACATGCATATCATTGTAGTTCACATTGTTAACAAAATATAAGATATTGCTAACAGCCCAGAAGATTCTGAAAGGTTTGCATCACAGAAAATATTCTCTGTAAACCAGTTACTCTCACTCAAACTCTTCATAATGTCCCTTATTATCATATGTCATTAACTACACTTCATTTCTTTTTATCATGAGTAGTATTTCCTTGTATGTGCATTCAACAAAGCATTTATCTAATATCCTGTGGCAAAAATGTCAGTTTGGGATTGAACATTTTAAAACAATTCATTTGAAGACTCAGGACATAGGAGAACCTATACTGTAACATCATGTAACTCAGTTGTGTCCCAAATTTTCTGATCAAGGAGATTATGGGACCACAGAGGAAAGTGATTGATGATGTAGAGTATACCTAAGGAGAATCACATGGAGAGAAAATATTCTCTCAGGCTTTTACAGAGAGCAAATTGGTAAAGCAATGGCCGTGACTCATCTACATGGCTGACACTGACAAAGGATCTACAATCTGAGGTACAGGGTCTCAGGAAAAATCCTGAGGGGATTTATCAGATACAAAAGACACAAAAGTTACATTTCTTGTTATATAGGTCTTGCTTTATCTTGGTCTTAACTATCCAGCAGAAAAGTATAAAAACAAATATAAAAAGTAAAGTCATATTAATATGCTGAGCTGTAAAAGGCTCAAGTCAACAACTTCTGACATTGCCAGTCTTATGGAAAACCCACTACTATTATGGACTACTGGACTATTTTGGAATATTTTGGTGAATTCACACACCTATAATATTTAAATGACAATGGAATAACCTTCTCTGACAAAACTAAACAAAAAAGGGGATACAAATGAACAATCATTTTATACCTGTATATTCAAAATAGGATAGATATACAGTTACATTCTCTTAATTCAATAAATAGAAAGAATTATCTCTAATAGTGTTTGTGGACAAGATATCATGGCTGCATCTTGTACAATGAATAACCACTAAAACAACAATATGCAATGTATTGATTACTTAAACTCTCTTACTAATCGGTTTTGAAACTGTCTCATTGCTATTTGTTTATCAATAAAATTATTTTTATTTTTAAAAATCATTTAGTACATTTTTGGTCATATATCTTCATTTGTTTTAAATACCTAAGAGTTAAATCACCAGGTTATAATCTCTTTTTCCAAGAGCACTACACAATACTCCTAGATACTCCTTGACAAGATAAGTTGATCATTAGTCTTACTAGAATTTATCAATTTTACTATCCACTTTATCAATTATATTACCTTTTGAAATAACCAATATCTTTGTTCTTTTTCTTAGATTTATTCATTTGCTACTTAATTGATTTCAACTTTTATTTTTATTTCTTTGTGTATAAATTATTTTTAAGAGTTTAGAAGATGAAAGATTAGGTATCATTGATTTTAAAACTGTCCTGTTTTTTTTTTTTTTTTCTAACATAAGCATTTGAATGTACCGGTTCACTTTAAGGTGCTTTGGCTGCAGCCCACAGATTTCTGATGTTGCATCTTCAACGATTGAATTTAAAATACTTTCTAATTTCCTTCTTTAATCCATGAACTATTTGAAGTATACTGTTTAATTCCCAAATATTGGGCAAATTTCCATAGATCTTTTTTTACTAGTCACAAATTTAAGTGTGTGTAGTCAGAAAATACTTGTATGACATCCATCCCAGAGATTCACAAAGACTTCTTTAAGGGTTCAGAACATATTATGAGATAAATATGCTATACAGATTTCAAAGTCCAAAACACAATTCAAGAAATTTTGTATTGATTAATAGTGTTGCTCTGTAAACATAGAGCATTTATTTTTATTTTCCTATTAATTACTAAAAGAAGATAAAACTCCAATTATAAATGTAGAAATGCCTGGTATTCCTTAGAATTTTCTCAGCTTTTACTTCATATATTTTAAAAATCTTAGAATAAAAACTAGATAAACAATTTGTTGAGCTTGAAGCACTTTCTTTTAACAACTAATTTAACACTCTAATCAGAACTACAATGTCTGAGATAAATTACTAACAGCAGGGCTAAAGAACTGGTGGCCCATGCCTCTAATACCAGCACTTGGGAGGCTGAGGCAGAAGGTCAGCCACAAATTCAAGTTTGGACTGGACTATATACTGAGTTCAAGGCCAGCATGAATTATACTTCTCAAAAAAGAAAACCAAACCAAAACACAAAAAACATGCTCAGAACCTAAATTAGGTCTAACTATTAAAACTTATTTCACTAATTCTAATATTTTTTTATTCTTATTTATTTATTTATTTATTTATTTTAGGATAGGGTCTACAGGGTGTTCAGGGTCACACTACTAGACCAGACTCACAGTGATCTGCCTGTTTACAGTACTGTAATCGCAAGAGCTGGAATTACAGGTGCATCCCACCGGGCCCCACCGGGTGGGGCCAGCACTGCATTTCAGCACACCAAAACACTGGCCCCTCTGCCTGCTTGCAGGCTGTTTAATCCGCTGAGCTATTTGGGCAGCCTCACTGATTCTAATTTATATTTCTTTTAAAATGAGACATTTAAAGGGCTCAGTGAACTGAAGAGACTTCTCTTAGGCAGAGCGCTATGCCGATGGTTCGATACTTAGCATGCCATGTGGGCCTCGCCCACAGGGCACAAAGAGAGGGTGACTGAGACTGCACATGGTGGTGTGGGTCTATAATTCCAGCACCTGGGAGGCTGAAAACAGGAAGATCACTATGAGTCTGATCTATGTAGTGAGACTCTGTACATTCTGTTCTAAATACAGAAAAAAATAAATAAATAAGAGATCCAGCCATATCACACTCCTGGGGAGAATTTCCGGCTACCCTATGCCAGTGGGACCTGTCCAGTCCAAGCCAAATCACAGCATGGGTAAGACCCTCTTCCAACCCCTTGGGACCCTACCACCACTCCACAGTCTCCCCCCAACCACTCCCAGTGAGTGAGAACTTCTGCCGTGCTCTCAGGACCCCCAGATCTAGTCCTAGTCCAGGCCCAGTGAGTATGTGGGAGAGCTTCCTCTCTACCCTACTCCACCTTGTCCCCTCCAGACTTAGCTCAGGCCTGGCATACAGGCCTGGGGTGAAACCCCACAGCTACAATACCTGCAGAAAGAGGAGGGGACAGAACCACCCAGGTAGTCCAGGAGGAGAACATCTTGCCAGAGGGGCACAACAGATTCACTCCCAAGGGCAGCAGCAGGAAGGAGCTAAGCACAGCAGCCAGACCCAAGCCAGGCACAGTTGGATAAATCCAAACTTTGTAGAACTGCACCTGAAATTCAGTAGGTGCTAAGGCTATAACTGCACAAAAGACCTACAACAAAGGTCAGAAGATAGTGCTATACAAAATGACACGAGAAGGAGCAAAATAAAATGTCAGACCACAAGCCTACCAGTAACAGTGCAGAGGACACTAACACAGAACAAATTGGGAATCACACAGCTGAAATCAATGAATCAACAGCTTCTGAAATAAAGAAACAAATGCAGAAAGGCATAGAGGAACTCAGATTGGAAATGAAAAAAGAAATCCCTGAATTAATAGCATCTGCAGTAAACAATCAAATGCAGAAACGTACGGAGTAACCAAAGGCCC